AAATAATTATCTGTGTTTGCCATTTGGGAAGGGTGAAGACTGCCATGTAAGTAAAACAATAGAACTCGTCTCAAACTGTTGAAATCAGTGGAAAGATGACTATTGGTTTCACTGCTTTCCAGATGAGACCTCGGGCATAATAATTACATACCACATCAATGACTGCCTTTTTTTCCTGCTGCTAATTGTTACTTCTTGGTTAGCTGAATACTTAATAGAGAAAACAACAGCATCACATTGTTGCATTATATCAATTTTTAATATTTTTTTTGGTCGTTGTTGTTTACCTTTTGAGGGGAAAAAAAATAGACCTGGCTGCTGGTGATGATATTTGTAATGTCACATCTAAATGAGCAAGATCTTCTAGAACAGCTGTTGCATGGTGTAAGAAATCATGTGTTCCAGGTGATGTCGGAGTCTGAAAACGCATGCAAACTTGATATAGTATCAATATATGCTGACAGATTATGCTTTCTGAATATAATTGGCAGTCCTGTGGTAAAGGTTGGACTTGATGATCTTAAAGGTCTTTTCCAACTTAGCTGATTCTGAGATTCTGTGATTCAGCAAAGGAGTGTAAATACATCAACAGAATTTTTCATTGCTAGCGTGTGCTGTATTTCCACAAGAGGGCTCTGTCAGCGTAGCTGCAACGACAGCAAAGCCGTGCTCCACTGTAAGAGAGCACCCTCATGTAACTGGGGTCACATACAGAGCTGTGCACTGGATTAGACTTAATGGATGTGGAAGCAGAAACTCACTTTCGTCACTACAGTATAATTATCTCACGAAATCTAACCAATATCCTGTAAGAGACCGACTATCAGCAGTGCGAGGCAGAGAGTATCTTGGCTGGCTGTGCATCTGTTCCCTCACACTTCTGTCTCTGCTTCCTTCCCATCTCTGCTTGTTCTCAGCTAAGAAAAGATGTTCTTGAATGCTATTTTTTTGCTTCCTTTTTTTGCAATCAAATTAAGCGTATTATATTAAATCTATTACCTGCAACAAATGTTAAAGATTGACAAATGCTCATGGTCAAAAAAAGTTAGGAATTACTGATTTGGATATTCCATTCAAAATTCCCCCTAAACCGAATAATTGTACTCAGAATGGTTGATTCGCTTTTAATATTGAACTGTTTAAGCTAATTTAAACACACTTGTTAAGAATTTATAATTTCTGTTCCAGTGTTATGATGCAGAAATTGTTTCGGGTTTGCTTCTTTTAAGGTTAGGGGGAGCTTTTCAGCCACTTCCTTGCTACTCTTAGGCTTTTGCATGCAATCCTGAAACGTGGCCACAAGAGGTCAACAGTGATTCGTAATCGCCGATATCCCCGTATTTGCATGGATGAGATACGTTACAATAGAATTACATAGACGAGATTTTTTTGGTTATTTCAGAGAAGTTATTAAGTTTGTGGAAATAATGATAATAAAATTGTTAAAAATCTCTTTTTCTAAACATATTTGGTTGTTATATTACTTCTAGAACATTTATTTGCTGTTTGTTTTTAAACAAGAATCGAGTTATGAATACTAAGTAAATTGTCTAGATCTGTGTTCTCCAAAGACACGATTGTCTTTATTCATATAACAGTAAAAAAAGGCATACATTCATTATGCAAAATTTGTTAGCCTATCTAGAAAACCTGTTCATATATCCAGGCACTGCCCTTACCCTGTATTTTCCCCTTAGTACAGCTCCGCAGATCCTCAGATGTGTTCTCTCATGGTTTAGACTATAGCTGTCTAAATCCGTGTTCATGCTTCAGCCAGCACAAACTGCATGTGTGGAGTGTGTATTTTCTGCCACTGTTACTTGGCACCGTCATTGCCACTTAGCCTTGGGGCTCTTTGCAGATGTGTGTAAATATATTTCATTGACATGTTAAAGTGGCACATTGACTTCCTTCTTAAAAATTGTACCAGTTGTGTAGGGCTAAGACTTACCAGCTAATCACCATGTGACAGCTTTTACTGTACCTATTTGTATTGACGTAAAGGAAGTGTGTACATATGCCCAGCATTTACTTTATTGGCATCTAAACTTCAGTCATTCACTGCTTGTGGAATTGGAAACTGCTTTTTTTTTCCTCACAACCTTTTTCCTTTATCTTTCTTTGTCTCATAATCAGCTTCTCCTTTAAAAATTAGTTACTAGAAGTAACTCTTTTCAACGAGAAAAGGCTCACCGTGGTCATTTGTTATGAAGGGAAGCAGAGATCAGCAACATTGAGCATTCTCATCGGTTCATCTAAAATGGACTCTCACATATTGCAGAGAGCATTCTCATTAGCAGCCCATGTTTCTCTGAATGGTAACATATCAAACTTTTTAATGGACACCAGTTGTGTTTCATGCTCGTTATAGTAGGATAGTAGATAATGGGAAGTTTATTACAGTACTTTCCACCTCAGTGGCACTAGCATGATATTAACTAATGTGATTAGTAGTTGCTGTTGCATATTTGCTCATTTTGCATGTGCAGGTAGTACAGAAAGTTACTTTTGGAGTTTTAAAAGGTTTTAATGTACATTCTTTCAGATGCCTTGAATAAAGAGAGTTCAATTAAAGGAAGTCATTTCAAAGTATAATTGATAATTTTTAAGTAAATGTGGCCTTGTAACAGAATGCAGATGGCAAGCCCACTATCCGGCTGACCCCTGGGTGTGATCGAGAAACAAGCAGGAGGTGCAATACACTCTATTAATTATTTTCACTGCTACAGTTGTTTGCTGTACAATACAGGTCAACAGGGGTTAGCCTGAAGCTTCTCCTAATATATTAGTAAATAAATTTGAACAGATTTTAATTTGCTAATGGAAAGGTCTGAGCCAGTTGCAAATAAGAGTGGAGCTACTTTGTCTTGCTCATTACTATGCAACATGGCTGCTCCCAGCCATTCATACAAAATGTTACATTTCCATAAAGCACAATGTAATTTGTCACAGGGAAGGAAAAAAATCCCCAACAACAACAACAAAAATCCCCAACTCTGTAAACTATATTAGATTAAAGATAAATGTGTATCATGGAGCAATCATTTCTTATGGAGTCTGTAGGATAATTACATGTTGAACACCTGCCTCTTGAAGGCTTGCCAAATAATCCAGCATGGTATCTTTGTAATACTTACTTGTTTCAGGGAGAAAAAGTAGAAGTCTATGCTATTTCCAAAAGGTATAACAAAAGTGAGCCTTTTTCACATGTCCCCTAATGATTTCTCACCCTGTTTTGAAGTCTTGCTATTCCCCTGTTCCAACTCATACAGCTTCCAGGTCTGTGCTTTCATAGAATTGCAACACAGCACCACCTGCATGATTGTTTGTTTCTCACTCATAAGGCCAATATTTTCTACTCCTAATGACACCCCCCCCGAGTGTTTTTTCTGTAACTCCTTTGTAAACATTTGTAAATATTCTCATTTACAGATGCAGAACCAGAAATACACAGGTCTGTGTCTTTCCCAAGATCTAGATTGGTAGTAACAAAACTGAGATGTTATTTATCCAAGCCTAGTAGCATTGTCGTAGTTTTCCTGCCTCCTCCTTTACATTGCTTAGGACAGGCCAGTTGCAAGCAGAGAGAATGACCCCTCATTGTAAAATGACAGTTGATTAAGAGGTATAGGTAGTATGCTGCTGACAGGTGTTTTAGCCCGCCAATACTACCTTGTTTCATTTCACTGTGCATCACAGTAATGGCACCTGTTTTGAATCTCAGCATTTTTTACATTAGATCATGAAGCTTCATTCATGTGCATCACTGGTCCAGTTACTTTAACACCTACCTCTTGGATGAATTTTAAAACGTAGGTTGGCCTGCTTGTCCAATTCATTCTTTCCATGTTAACAAGACTCTATAAATGTTGGAGTGATCAGAAAAACTTCTGTCACTGATGTTAAGGCAGACTTCCAAACGGGAGAAGGAAAATTTCTCATCATAGCCTTTATGTAGACGGGCACTTGAGGGTTCATGCAAAGACAGCTCACAAACTGGTAGCTTAAAATGTATATGTTTAAGTTGTATTTGCCTTATCTCTACACAGAGTATATTTTACCATCAATCATTTTCTCCATGTTTAAAATCTTGGTTTTCATGGGTGTGGGATTTTTATTTTTTTTTTTTTTGGGGGGGGGGGGCAGGGTTTATGTGGTTTGGTTTGGTTTTAATGGCTCCTGGTTTTAAATATTCCAGCTGTTTGTATTGCTCAGATGCATGAGGTGACAGGAAGGGCTGTTAATGGTTAAACCTTTGTCATTTTCACCTCTTCTTCACTCTTTTGTGATGAAAGAAGTGGCACTTGATTTTAAAATGGGCACAAATTAAGAAGCATCTAAAGATTAGTCCCTTAATTACAATAATCCTGAAAGGTTTATTCAGAGATTGCCTTTACTAAAGTTTTAAATTTAGCCATGCATTTTAAATCAGGAACAGACTGATCCATGGGCCAACAACAAAAGACAGGGTTCAGGTTTGAGCGTTCTTTGCATAAATATTTTTAGGTTGAGAAAAGAGTCTACTTCAGACAACACAGCTACTGATGCACATCCTGTTTGTTATTGATAAACTTTTTTACTTTTTAATAATTCAGTGCCTAATTGCCATAGAAAAGCCTCAAATAAGGAAACAGAAAGGCTGCCAAGGTCAGTGGCATGAATTTTCAGGCAGATTCCTTTCTACCAGTCCCACAGTTTTGAGTATGAGAAATAGAGTCCTCAGGGTTTTTTTGGTTGTGTGGATTCCTTCTATCCAGATGTTTGAATTGCTGATTTCAGTAAACCAGAGATTAAAAGAAAAAATCTCCCCAGCCTTCTAAATTGCAGTACTAACTTCACTGACTGTACCTGCCTGGATAGTGACAGTAAGAAACATTTATAGGACTTCCATGAGCAATGTACTTTATGCACATTAATTAATCAAGATTCTGAAGGCTGCATTCTCATGTCTTTTGTATTCTGGCCTGATATTGTAAACAACTCTAATTTGACTGTTCCAGAGGGAGGGAAGGGAAGAAGGAAGGGCAGAAAGTAAGCTATCCTCTACCTTTTTCCCAAAGTGCTATGTTATCATCAACATTTACCTTGACTCCTTCCAGAACTACTGTCAAATGGCTGAAAGGATAAGGCAAATGAAGAACATGTATACGTAATTCCACCCACTTTGGCTCAAGGCATGACTAGCAAAATAAAAAACAGCAGTATTTAACTCTCCTGCTTTTTTGTCCTGAGCAGCTTTATTCTAATCTATATCTTCTGTCCAAATGTTGTTACTCATGGTTTTCTAGTTACTTTCTTTTTCTTCTGTTACTTTTTATGGGAAACTTCTTCCCACAGTGAGAAATAAAATCATTTTATCAAGGTGTACCACAAAGTGTAATAGAATGTTCAAGGAGAACAGAGGGAGCACCTCTTCTATAAGAAAAGGCTGAGAGCATAGGGGTTGTTCAGCCTGGTGAAGAGAAGGCTCTGGGAAGACCTTCTAGCAGCCTTTCAGTACTTAAAGAGGACCTACAAGAAAGATGGGGACAGACTTTTTAGCAGGGCCTTTTAGGATAAACAATGGCTAGTGGGTTTAAACTAAAAGAGGATAGATTGAGACTAGATATAAGGAAGACATTTCTTGCAATAAGGGTGGTGAAACACTGGAGCAGGTTGCGCAGAGAAGTAGTAGAAACCTCATCTCTGTAAACATTCAAGGTAAGGCTGGATGGGGTGCTGAGCAACCTGATCTAGTTGAAATTGTCTCTGCTTATGGCAGGAGGGGTGAACTAAATGGCCCTTGAAGGTACCTTCTAACTTGAATCCTTCTGTAATTCTATGCAAACAACTCAGTATGCACTGTCCTTTGCAAAATGCTATTACCAACCAAAATGAGGGAGCAGAGAAGAATAGTAAATATCCTCAAGTATTGAAACTAATTTTCCTATTCAGATTAATATTCTGCTAGGATTTTCTTCATGTGCAGACCTGCCTTATGCCAGAGAATTTTTCTGCATTTGTTTCCATCCAGGAATTTCTTTTCCTCCAAAAGAAATTACACTGTCCCTTTGTAGTTGCTGAATACAGCTACAGTTATTATAGAGCAGCTTAACCTGAGGGCTGTCTATCTACAATTTTAATAACTTCATTGTACAGGGGCAGTTAATATTTTAGAGGACTTTCTATTTCCATTTCTCTGCAGTATTTATGGGTAAACCAATGCACAGAAAGACAGCCACCTTAAAGTTTCTAAAGTGTCATTGTTATATCTCAGTTCAATAAAACAGTCATATGAAAATTAAACACCAAAAAGTATTGCAGGGAGAAAAATTAATTTCAAAACTGTGTTTAATATTAAGCTTATAAATTATTGTGCTAAAAATGATCCTGAGAGCTGTATCTCCAATGGAAACAAATCATTGTAAGATCAGAACTTTTGAATCACTAAGCTTGTTAAATTCTAAACGCTGTGTGCCTATGCGCTTGTTCTGCTGCAATCTTGATTCGTTTTCTGCTGCTTTGATTATCTACTTTGAAAGCTCCCATGAAGAGGTTAGAAGCCAAGGATAGCAATAAAAATTAGAAGCAAAATCTACACAGCTGAAGCTCAAGAATTTGGGTTGTAACTTCCATAAATATTTTATTAGACAGTGCATGAATACTTTTGCAGAGAATAAAAATGATTAATTTGCATGTGTCTAATGGTAGACACAACGCATTGGAAACTCCTTCCTGCATTATTCCACAATAAATACGTATTAAAAATACATATTTACTGAAGTAATTTCTGTGACTGCATTAGAAGTTACTTATATTTTTGGCTTGTATGTAAGGTTATAGAGGATTTTATGCATGGTAATAAAGGAATTACTTTTACTTACATTGCTCAAATCTTAAGAATGAAAGCATTTTCTTTGGTAATAAGCTTAAAGAAAGTTCTTTTGAAAATTAGTTACACATGTCAGCTACTTATTTAGGGTAAGATTTCAGTCATTGATACTTGAGACTAAGGAAGAATAATCTGCGCATCCACGAGGAAATCTGCATTCTAGAAAGCATTTCCCTTACATGTTCCAGGAATTTAGAGGAAGTAAACAGTAGGACTTTTAAGACTTCTAATACATTGTGCTATGCACGTAAAATATAAATGGCATATATCTTTTCCTTATATAATTGAAGAAAAATGCCATCATAACACAACCTTACATGCTTTCAAAATCAAATCATGGTCATACTTTTTGCTACAGAAATACTTTGCTTCCTAATGTCAAATCAAAAATATTTAAATGAAGTTAAAATGTTTTTAATATGATTAGGTAAAAGAAATATTACTTGAAATGCAATCATTTTTGTCATGTTCATTTAATTTTATTGTAAGGAATAGCTGTTGTGGGGTGAGTTTTTAAAGCAGTAAAAATTGCTCTTTTTTTAATCAAGCAATTTTGTATAAGAGGACTTCTTGCACTAAAAATTTATTTATGGGCATGGTTTTGAGAGTTTTCCTTCACTAATGAATTTTCTTCTCTTTGTTAGTAGTAGTTGTTGGTTTTGTCTGTTCTTCCTGTTTTGCTTAAACACTAGAGTAAAAGGAGAAGTAAATAGAAACACCTTTAAAGAGTATAAAGGGTATGGTGTGGATCTAAGCTTTGGGGGAACTTCTGGGGGTTCTGGAGATATATGAGAAGCCCAATTGCATTACTCATCCCAGCTGCTCACCTGATAGAATGTTCACAGGGTCCTCAGCTACAGCGTGACACCAATCTGCATAAAGGTGTTCAGAAGTGGAGTCAGCAGTGCTTTTCTTGCTGCATGGAATAGCATGAAGGGTCAGCAGTGATTTTAGGACTGGCTCAGTCCCCTGAATCTGTTTAGAAGAACAAGTAATATTAGTAACTGCAGCTGTTTCTCCACAGCACACTTCCTCTGACGTTAAATGGAGACTTGGGTTTAAGGCTTGTCTATAAACAGTTGTTCCTTACCACCTATTGTAAATCTGTGCATGTGTTGCAATAATTATTTTGAACAAGAACAAGCAGTTCCAGTAGCAGTAGAACATATACTTGCGTTTCCAGTGTGAAATGCATTGGGAAATCTTTGATGTCTGTTAAAAGATGAAAGTGATGGTGGGAAATGATGACTGGTCTCTCAGTGGTGAAAAGTGTAGGGTCTTTTCTTGCTGTTTTTAACAATGACAGTTCAGAAATATAGAACTTCAGAGAATTCCATCACTGTCTGAAAACAAGACAAGACTTCAAGAATAAGAAGTGAAGTGACTGAATGCTTTTCTCTAGCCTTTTCCCTTTCACGTGCACTCCCACGGCACATTTGGCTTTAAGATTTGTTTCTTGAGGAAAGCAGGCTAAAACCAAGATAGCAGGAAGTGGATAAGGTCAAGAATTCCCATTTTCCAAACAGCTAACCAAGTTTCTGTTATCAGGAAACCATTTTGAGATATCAGAATAAAATGCAAAATTTAGTGGCTCTGTTAAATGCATGTGTATTTCTTGGGTATGGCACTGGTCTGGGACATGCAGACAGACTTTATTTCCCACTTTACTATATGACCCCTGGAAAACCACACCGCCTCTTCATACCAGTGCTCCTACTTTGTTAGTTTTCCATAGCCCATAGGCTGTTCACAACAGAATCTTTTTCCTAGTGTTTTATTGTGCAGCATTCATTGCAATAGGGTTTTGATTTTGGTAGAAACATCTTTTTAAAAATCTATTGTAATATTAGTAATAACAAGAAATAATATGGAATACAGCGCTCCCTAGGACTAGAATAAGATGTTACTACAAAATCGCTGCATTCAAATATGCATGTCCTTTGCAAACTGACAGAATACGAATAACATTTTCCTTGCGCTCCCTGACCTATTTTCTAATCTGCTTCTGCTTTCAGAAAAGACATAATAACTGTCTTATTTTTACTCGCCTTTCTGACCTTGCTTCATCTGTGCTATTCCTTTTGTGCTCAATAAATCAGTGTTAGTATGGAGAAAGACTCCTTAAAGAGGGGACATGTCCTGCGTGTGTTGCTTTTTTCATTCCAGGCTGTCTATGGGTGTTTGGGGAGGTGTGTGGTTGGTGTATGTGCGTTTCTTCATCGCCTTCTCTACTATAACAATTAATTACTTTTTTTTTGTCAGCTGACAACAGAAATGTCAGTGTCAGTATTCACAGGATTTATATCCTCTGATGCTGCTTTTAATTTTCACTTTAGCTGTTAATTGTCAACACACTACTCAGCTTTCTGTAGGAACACCATTTACTGTGACAAATATTTCATTATCTCCTGGCACTGTTCTAAACATTGTGTGCCAGTTTCTTCTGATATTTAACCCATGATCCAGGAATGCCCATAAAATGCCTAGGATATTAGAGGACAAAAATGCCCTGAGATGGTTCCTAAGATGAGCATCCATGGTAAGAGTTGGACTGTCTTCGTGCAAAGGGAGGCTCCACCTTTTTGTTTCAGTATTCCTATCTCTAGTATTAACTCTTGGAGAAAGACTGCTATTGTCCTAGCTTTCTGTCCACCATTTTTCTTACTTTTTATTTAATTTAAATATTTTTTTTTTTTTAAATTCCAAAAGGCTACTAAAGATTCAGCAATTGGCTCCTTGCTTGGGTGCCAAAACGGATGTGAGCAGCACATAAAAGAATCTAGCTGATTTTTTGATATGAATGTTAGTCTTGAAGTAATCCATACATAGTGGCTGCAGATCACTTCCCATGGGGCTATCTGTTTAGTGAAAATAAGCAAAAACCTGAAATGATACCCCATTGTGACCTCAGTGCAAAAGCTGGAAGAGAACCAGTGTTAATATTTGTTCTTCTGATCAGAGCTGGAGAAAGGGGACATACTTTAAGGCAGTTTTAATGTGGATGATGGTCTTAAGGAATTAGCACTCATCTTTTGAAATCTTGGCCTTATTTCTCTTAAAAGCGCATATGAGTTTGTCCCTGGTCAACTCTAAGCAAGCATTTGAATGTTACCTCCAAACTGGTGACTACAAACAAATTTCAAACCATGAGTTTATACGTTAGCCCATAATCCTATTTAAAGTCCTACAGATGGCAGCCTTATTTGAGCTGTATCATCTAAGAGAGCAAGTAGACCTGGTGCATGATTGTTGCTATTTGCATATGTAGGGTACAGGTGTTACTTTTTGGAGATTAAAAACTCTGGAGAGCAATTCCAAAGGAGATTTCCAGTTTTCAAAGGACAGTTGAGAAAAAGTGAAGAAATATTACTGAAGTCACTTAATAGCTGTGTCATCAGATGTGATGTCATATATAACACTTCGGTAAGGCACGTTACTGCAGTTGACACTTGAAATTATTTCTATGAACTATAATTTAGGGCTTTTGGTACTAGTTTGCCTTACTCTGTTCAGTCTTTATCAGCCCTGACACTGCCCATGTTATCTTCAAGTGGAAAGTTGGTGGGACTAATGCATAATCCATGAAACCCTTGCACATCATTTCAGAAAGTAAGGCTATCAAAAAGTTCATGCTAAGTAGACTTCTCCAACAACAAAGTCACATAAAGCACCAACCATTCATTCAATATAAACACTTACAATGGAGCAAAAGTGCTACAGAAAAAAACATGTTTTGCTACAAACAGCTTTCTCCACATTTTCATTTCATCTTTCACCCAAACCTTTATCATCATTGCAAGTTCTATTTAACTGTTACAGGAGATTGGCTCTTTGCTGATGTCAAGAACACTAAGCTGCTATATCTCTCTATTGCACCTTGAAGCAGGTGAAAGACAATAAAAGCTTGAAGTCAGCCTCTTCTTAAAAAAAAACAAAACCCAAACATACACATCTAAAGACTCTCTTATTTTAAAATGGACTGTTCTATATTAGGCACTGTATGTGCCTCAACTTAGCTCTACATTTATTTCAGTGGGATTTTTATTTGACTTACCTATGTTAAGTAAAGGGAAGAATTTACAAAAGGCTAGTGGCTCAGGGTTTCAGGCAGATTTTGTTTCTAGACTGGTAGTGGTTATCATCACTAGGGTATAAAAACTGCATCAAAGTAGAATGACAAGAAATTATCCGAAATGTCATTATGTGGATCTGATCATCCAATGGCTTGGGTACTGTGTGTGCTTCTGGGAAAGCCAGTATTCCTACTGATTCAGAGAAAACTCCAGGAACAAGTGCCTCCTTGTCTCACTACACAGAACCTAAGCTATATTCCACCCTCTGCTCCCAAACAGCCCATAAAACAGGTAAAAGTCAGCTTGGTCATTTGAAGTGTTTTATTCAATAACAGTCCCTTCCCCTTGCTCCATTTTTCAAAAGGATACTGATACCTTTTCCCCATAGTATCATGACAGAAAGAGGTGGAGGTTGTGCAAGCACTGTTCTACTTCATATTTATAGCAGACTTAGATAGCATGAATTGCTTTGCTGAATTAGTTATTATTATTTCCTTGGTTTTGCTCGGTCGTTCATATTTCCTCGAAATAGTTTAACAGACATGAAAGAAGGCCCATCTCAGAGGCAGAAGTAACAAAAAATGAGAGTCAACTGCCTAGAAATGGAGTCATCAAAGCAATTGGGTGGACATCATCTTTAAAAACTATTTTTCCCATTACTCTCTTAAAAACAAATAAATGTTGGGTGAAATTTTGTGCAATCCTTATGCTGCCTTTCCTGTACGTATTACCTCAGCTCAGACCCTAGGTCAGCAGTGCTTGAAAAATGCTCACTTGTCAGAGGTTGTGCTATGCCCTGTCTGAAAAAGAGCTGGTGTTCCCAGTTCGGTTCTTAATGGACAGGTGTTCACAGCACAAAACCCTCCATTACAATTGGCCCTAATTAGCACCTTTATCAGCAGCCTCCCCAGAGAGGCCAGAGAATGAACAGGCTTGGAAACTGAGCCACCAGCCTGGCTCATCGCTAGAGGTGAGCCCTCCAGGTCAAGGTTGAGGGGCAGTGTGAGGAAGCTTTGCTGCTACTGCCTGGGCTCTAGCTGCTCCATGAATAGAGGACTTCAGTCTCAGGACTGTCAATCTGGCACCTTTCAAAAGCACTAAATTCACTTAATTAACAGACAGGAAAAAATAGCCTTCCCTAGCAACTCTTACATCAAATGGCACTTATGTTACCTTATATTCTGAGCACCTAACCCTATTAGCATTGCATTGTGTGTTTCTGTTGGAGGGCCTTTATGTACACACCAATCTTAACGTACACACTAATGTATACTGGGAGATTTAGGAGCATTTTAAATTAAACTGACATTATCAATGGCTTTTTTTAGTATTTTTTTCCATTATCTGCTATACCCTCTTAATTCCACAGAAGAACATTTTTTCCCATATTAATATTCCTTTTTTCCATGCAATGAAATCACTTTCTCCTTTGAATTTCATGTTTCCCCTGATCATTTTGTCCTTTTTCTTTCTTTTTTTTTTTCTCTTGGCACAAGGCAACACTTTGCATTGCTGTGTTCTCATGATAGGTCAGTCTATTGTCTATTAACTCTACAACACAGCAAAAAACCATATGCTCTCATTCCAGAGAGAAGCAGGATATGCTAATTTGTACAATAACATAATACAGAGATAGAAATTATCTAATTTTGCCCTGTCCTGAGTGTCATTGTTCATGGTTGTGCAATTATTAGAGCTACAGGCTTAGCTTTATGGCACAAAGGAATCTGCATTTCACAAATGTGTTTTAACAGTATTCTGTAGGTATGTGATGTTTTCCTTGTAGAAAAATGATTTCTTGGAAATCTCTTAATATAGTCTCTTAATACTGTTCTAAGTTCCTGTATTTATTTGAGTAGATAATGTTTCCCGATTAAAATGTGTTTACTCTTCAAGTCAGATTAGATGATTATGCTCTAAATTAGCTATCACTTAATGTCCAAGCTATACCTATCAACTTTATCATCTCAGAATATCCTTTTGCATCTCCATCTTCTATAGCTCTCTGGACAATCAAGACTATGGTAAAGAAACACCCAGAAAGCAACCAGTGAGGTCTCTCTCAGCTGCCTGTAACTCTGTGATTTGCTTTTTTTATTCTGTGTCTCTTTCTCAAGATGAAAATCTGTAAAATATGTTCTCAGCTCTGAAACTTTTAGGTGAAACCTAAACTGAATATACAAAGTAATTTTATGAGGCTGTATGGCCTAGACAGTAGGCATTCTACAAGGTAAGATTACTGCACATATGAGTGTCCATGTTTTCTCCTCTAGTGTCTCTTTCTTTAGGTTATTTCGTCTTGTAAGTTCTGTGGATCAGGAGCTCTTTTGCTATCTGTTTGCGCAGAGTATGCTGGGTGCCATGGTCAGCCAGACCAGTACAGTCCAAATTAGTGAGCAGCCCAGTATTCCAGATGAGTTGCAAAAGATTAGCTGCCCACCTTTGTTTGTGTGAGGAATCCAAGCTGGCTGTTCACAGATGCATTGTACCAAAAACTCAGACATTCTTTTCTGAGCAATGGTAGCTCTAGGAGGTTTTCCTTCAAGAAAGCAAGATTAACTTTCAGATATTTGTGGTATATTATCCTAAAGGTGACAGAGTAATACTTTTCTCGGTGAAACTGCTTGCACTTGTAGCCAAAACCCAATTATTTTTTGCACTAGTCCCTTTAATTGTTCTTGCAAAAAATACATTGGGACATGTGGCCATACTGTTTAAAACACAAGACAGGTTTCAATTGCTCATTCAAATTAGAGCACTGTCTTCATTCACAAGCAATAGAGAAATAAGGAAGAGCAATACAAATAGGAGAAAGATGAAACATATAAGATGGCTAACAGCTGAGTGAAAACTTTCTACTCTAAACACTGATTTTCAGCTAATATTTCCTGTAATTTGTGTTTCTGTGATATCATGTTCTAATCCTTCGTAAATTGAGCAACTGACACCTGGCTAAAATCAATGGATTAACACTGCTAACCTAGACTCATCTGATATATTAATACGTAATTTTTCATATGTCTGCAAACAAATGTGCTGATTAGATTTATTAATAAGGCTACAATTGTTGTTCAGAGCACACTTGTCAAGTGACAGTAGTTTTTCGTGCTCACTTTTGTGCCTGCATTGCAGCTAATAACCCAAAACACATACCTGACCAAACTTTTCTGGCACAGGAGCAGGGTGCTTTGCCTGGTGATAATTGAATGAGAAGTGGCTGTGTTGGAGGTTGGACTTTGGTGCTCCCCAGGGACATTTTCCAACACCTATTGTTTCTACCTCACAGTAATTAATGCACATCAGGTATCTTGAGGTAAAATCACAACCAATATAAGTACTCTGATTTTACTGTGTAATAAAAATAAACCTAAGTGTGCCAGTGTTGACTCTTGATTAGTCAACTCCAGGGATTGACTGGACCTAATCTGGTTCCTATTCTTATTCTCTTTAATGAGCTATCTTCCTTTTTTTTTTTTTCCTCCCTCCAGAAAAAAATGATGTTTACCTGCATAAATCTGGTGTTAAAATTGAGTTTATTTTTAAGCAACGAAGAATGGCACCAAATTATAGGAGTATACTGTCACTCTTACAACCCACTTCCTTCTCTGGGATTTTTACACCAGAAAGGCTACAATACTAACAGAACAAAATTCTTTGAATTATATGATAAGGTATTTGTCAGTGAATTTTAGTTACTGAATCATTCCTGAGTTGATTCCAAGGCTTCCCAGTTTTAGTTGGCATTTTGTCAGTATTGTTCAGTAATAGGCAATCAAGAGTTCTTTCTGAAATTTGGCTTGCCTGCTCACTTATATTCCAGTTTTGTAGCCGATTATGTCACCAATATGTCTTTTTTTCACAAGGCTGGGTGACAGCAGCATTTACATTTGCAAGAGAATGATCAATGAACTCTGAGTAGCATGCAACAGGTTTCCAGAACTCCCCATCACTGGCACATCTTGAGGGGAGGCAGCCAGTCTACCTGTCTTCCACAGGAGTAGGAAGAAGTATGCATGCCCTGCAGCAAGAAGAGGTTTCCTGCTGAGTCCCAGGGCTTTTTCCTTCCAGGCACAGCAGGATTCCTGTGTGAAGGTTACAGGCAGGACTTCAGCAGAAAGTAAAGCTCCCTCCTCCTAAGATTAGTAGTCTTTTTGCAGCAAGCCCCTTACCTTATCTTCATTTGTTCAGGGACTTTTCCTCTTATCCCTGATTCTTTCTGTTATTTATTGTCTATGTTGTATTAAAAAGGCCATGGTCTAAATCTCCACTGTGCTATTCCCATTGCCCAAATTCTCCCTACTGGGTACTTACCTTTTGCAGTTCTGAGTTTTCTACTCTCTTT